TGAGCTTGGCTGGTTCTGTGTCTTCAGTGAGTGCTCTGCTTCTCTGCATCCCTGCCTGAGCTGCGATAGGCACTGTGGGAGGGCTGTGCTAGATTCTGCCCGTTTTGTAAGTTTTGCAAAAGTTGTAGTGCACTTGAATTGCTGAGACTTTGCAGGATGGGCTGGAAAGGAGTGATGGAGAGCTGCTGTGCTGCTTTCAGGGCCCATCAGGATCCCTTGTCAGCAGAGAAACAAAAGTCCTGAAGCAGCTGGAGTGAAGCCAGGCTCTTAGTCCTTGTTGCTAACTTACAGGCCTATAAACCAAGCTGCTTCTTGTTGGTGTTTTTGGCATTCAAGACATGCCTAGACAGAGGAATCGTGGCAGTAGGTGCTGTACAAAACAGGAGTAAGTCAGAGTCTGCTCAGAAATCTTACGGTCTAGTTAGAGCAGGCAGGCCGCGGCTAAGAGAAGGGCTGTTCTTTGCTGACTTTGTTATTAGCTGACCTGATTCCATGAGAGAAAACCTCCATCTCTTAACGCTTAAAAGGACAGTGACCTCATGAAAGTCACGGGGCCTGGTCGTCCAGCCTGGTGAGTGTTCTCCTGCCAGTGACGACCTGCAAGGCTGCGGAGAATCGCGCCAGCCTCGCGTTGCTGCCCTGGGGCCCACGGGACTCGTGGTGCTTTCAGAGTGCTCACCAACTTGTTCGTGCTGCCCTTCTGCTGCTCGCAGCAGGCTGTTTCATTTCAGTCCCACCCTTTTTCACCAAAAAAAGAGCCCCAAACTCCTACTAGACACCTAGCCCTCCTATGCAGCCCTGCAGAAGGTTGTAATAGCGTAGCTTTTCCAAGCCAGGGAGCTTTTATTAGGCAGCCAGAACTGGGTTATTTTAGTGTCCTCGGGCTGAAATGGGAATGCGAAGCCTGTGAATGTGCCAGCAGTGTCACCACCCGCCTGTCCCCGAGCGTCTGGGATTTCACCTGTGGCCCTGCACCGAGGGGCTGTGTGCTCTTCGCAGTGTTCTGAAAACTTCATTCTGTATTTCCAGTTGTGCTGCTGCTTTCAGTAGGATTTGCCTTCCTTGGCCAGAGGTTGTTCATGTCTGCTCCCTTGAATTTTTTTTTCTTCCCCCAGCGTCTTTGACATCTGCGCATATGCAGATGATTTTGTGTCATTAATATCAATCTAGACAAGTCTGAGTGACCTTTCACTCCCATGTCCGAAGGGAAGAGTCGACCCTTGCAGTCAGTCACAGCACAGCACTGACTCATACATACTTTTCATAAAAATAATGCAGAAATTCCCCATAGTTTTTACAGATAGTTTTTCAGGAGGTGAAGTGTAAGTCTTCCATAGCAACACGGCTTGGGAAAACTATGGAGCATGTAACATCAGATAATTAATCTTTCTGACATGCAATACAGTTTTTACTATTAATGCTGTCTGTTTTTTTTTTCCTTTGTCTGTGTCACTTGCTCAAATGCAGCCGATCTGTTTTAGTTTCATTTGAGCTCGTGTATTCTCCAGTCTTGTTCCTGCCCTCGCCTGTTCTCCAGCTCCATGGCAAACCTCTGGGGAAGGGGCTGAGATTTGTCCCACCTCCATGACTCCACAGTGATGAGCACGATAGGACTGTACTTTCCCTTTTCTGCCCCAATTGTTGTAATACTTTCTGATTTTCTTGCAGAAGATAAAATACATTGTGCTTAGGTATGCAGCACTGAAAACAAAGAAAAAAATAATCTCAAAGTTTAAAGTTCCTTAAAAAACACCAACTGAAATTTGGAAACAAGTCAGAGTCGCTCCACTGAAGACTAATGGTAACACAAAATGACCAACCACCCAAAAGTAATTGCAGGGAAGCTGTTTGCCACTGAAATATGAATGTCATAAACGACATATTGTTTCTTTTCTTTCCTGTATATGCTTATTTGTCACTTTTTAAAAAATCCATATAGAATTAAAGTCAGGGCAAGTCCTCATAGTCCCAGTATCTGAATACCTTTCCCTTTACTTAGGGGCCAGGGTTTTTGACCATACCTACTGTAGTGGAGCCAAGGCCAGTATGGAGGCGACTAAATACTTCTCTTGAATTATTATTTTTCTTTAAGGCAAAAGATGCATATTTGAAATCTTTAAAATAAATCTAATGAAACAGCCAGACTACAAGATTGTGTCAAGAGCGAGTTTGACCCACTAACTTGGTAGCTTCTCTGCTGTGAGGATCTCAACCTCCCTTTTCTCCCTCTGAAAAAAAACTTATGAAACTTAATCTTACAGTCTACTTGACAGTGTCATTTAAAGCCAAAAATTTAACACTTTACGATTTATATATATTTTCAGTCTTAGAAGAAGATTGAAAGGGAGGTCATCTCCAGCCAGATCAGATCCTCTCTCTGGGTTGCTGAGACGTGTTGTTTGTGTTAATACGGGTATTTTGTGGTGCGCATATTCTAATGACTGGAGTAATTTTTAGCATTAAAAACCTGTGCAGTGGTTGCAGCTTGTTGTCACACAGCTGTGGGCTTCCTTCCAGTAAACTCCTCGGAGTTAGTGAGCATCCCTGGCTTAATACAGGGGGCTCTGACATAGCTCTGTGGAAGCTCAAGTGTTTGTGGAAAGAGCTGTTAATCTTTGATCAACTGGAGTCTCCTTGTTACTGACTTTGATTACACAAGTGTACAACTTTAATTACAGCTTTTAATAAGCTTTCATTTCTTCCTAGTCACATTCTTTGTATAGCAGTGCAGCTTATCTTTTCCTTTCTCCTCTGCTCCCCTTCCCTCCCCGCACCTTGCCTTTTTATGGAAAAAGGGGTTTGAGGTCATGACGGGGGATTCAGAGTCCGGAGGGACCCAGCTGAACGCACGCTGCCCACAGCTCTGCCCTCTGCTCGCTCCTGCAGCCTGGAGAGCTCTCTCCTTCAGCTGCCCTCCAAAGATCCCCACGCCGGCTGCTGCCCGGGAGCTGGTGGTCAGCGGAGGACCGAGGGGACAGGGCTCTGAGGCACCGCTCACACAGACCTTGGCTGCTGCGTGAAGCCACTGACGGACCCTTAGAAAGCCTCTGTAGCTGAAGGGTGTGCTGACTGCTGAGTGCAATTCCTGCTCAGGGAGGACTGTCCCCTGCGTTCCCTTGGTGACACTCTGAAGGGTGGTGGCCGAAGTCAGAGTGGCAGAGGGCGGCAGGAGGCTAGTGGGCTCCAGCGTTCAGCCATGGCGCCCGTTCCGCAGCCAGGGGCTCGGCATGCTGGATACCCTCTGCTTATTAGAGAAATGAACTTGTGGAAGCCTTGTGAGAGACTTAACGGACTTGTAATTGAAAATAATTGAGATATGGTTTAAAGCAAGCATTAGGAAATGCTTTTTTCACATGAATCGTGTTTCAGCTGTGGAACTCATCGCTCCATGATGTTTTAGGCATGAAAAAGAGAAAGCAGATCGAAAAGTTGGCTGCATAAATTCAGGGAAGAAAGATTCATCAGGGTCTGTTCAAAGTAATATCCTGATCATTGGGTAACCTGAGACTTGAGGAAGTTAAGTTCTGATCATCAGAAGTGAGAAGGAGGAACTAGAGGTGCCTCCTCCTGTATTTGCCCTGCTCCTGGGCTCTTCCCTGAGCCTCTGCTGTTGACCCCTCGTTGGTGAGAGGATACTGGGCCAGTACAGCCCAGGAGGAAAGAGTCTGGCTCCAGTGGAAGTTAGAAAGCGCAACTGAGGAGTGACTTAAAAAGTACGAGTTGAAAAAAAGACACAGATGGTGAACCAGAGCAATTTGCACTGATTTGACATTCAGGGGTGCGCAAAAGGAGTGTACTTTTAAAGTGCCGATTGTGCTTATGGAAGAGGATAGCGGGGAAAACAACTGATAGAACAGGGAAGGGAGCCTTTTCTGTCTCTGTGCATGCATCCCTTCGGCTCCCTCGCTGTGCATGCTGTACTCTTTTTGCACACTAATGAATATCAGAGTCAGAGCAAGTTATGCTGTGTATCACTCCACTCATATTCACTAATGAACTTGCCCCTAATGGGTAGCTTTCCTAGCTATTCGTGTCATGACTGAATTTCACCTTGACAGTAGATCAAGAATGAGGTTCAGCATTGTGGCCCACCTACTTTGCAATGCTCCAGCATGACAGCTGCTTTGTGTCCTCAGGGTAGCTTTACTTTGATGCTTTTCCCTGTTTAGAAAAATATGGAGGGAGGATTTTGGTAATCTCCAGCAGGCAGAGTTTTTAAACCTTTCTCAAGGGAAGCTGAAGATTCTGCAGAATTTTTGAACAAATAGTTATTTATTAAGTAAGTGACATGGTCTTTAGAACTGTTCCTCCCACTGGGCTCCATAGGAAAGCAGCACTTGCCATGCTGCATCTTAACTGGTCGCTGCTGTAGCCTGCTGCTGTTGGTGCCTCAGGCTTGACTGTGGGAAAACTCTGGAAGGGTTATGACAAAATATCTAGTCTGACCGTTGCAGACATGTCCCTAGGTGTGAAGGGATGTGTTTGCATGCCTCAGAAGCATGCAATGTGAGGAGTACATCCTTTGCTCTTACAGGCTCTCTGACACCAGAAATGCTGGAGTGGAGCTTCTTCTAAACTTGACTGCCTCTCTGGTTGCTCAAAATACACTGCAGGACTTGCTGTAATATAGGATTGAAATGACCAGTTTGCTGAATTGGCTGGAAAAACTACAGGGGGAAGAGAAACAATGGAATGAGTTCCCCATGGTGTTTGTGTTGCCTGACCCAGGGTCATGGGCCAGTGTGGTTGCATCATTTGCTCATTCAGTAGCTATGCCACTGCTGAAAAGAGCTGTGTCCAGCTCCTGAGAGCCTGATTTTTAGAGGGCACTTTCTGCATGATCTGCTTCAGCAGGGCCTCGTGTCAGCAAGCTTTGCATGCGTTCAGGGAAAGTTTTTTTGCTTGTCCAAGTTTAAACCAACCTTATGCCCCCTTCTTCCTGCTCTTGTTTGAGGGGGGTGTGCAATCTTTCTCACCCTCTGCCCTGTCTCTTTTGGCAGGCTCGGGGACCAGTTCTACAAAGAAGCAATTGAGCACTGTCGCAGCTACAACTCTCGGCTGTGCGCTGAGCGAAGCGTCCGCCTTCCCTTCCTGGATTCGCAAACTGGGGTAGCTCAGAACAACTGCTACATCTGGATGGAGAAGAGGCACAGGGGACCAGGTCGGTAGTGTTGTGTCTACGTATGCACATGCACGTATGGAGGGCTGGCCGCTGAGCCCTCATGGGATTTAATTAATAGGAGCTCAAACCTGCTATAGGCCACACAGAAAAGAAGCTGCCTAAACCTCTGTGCCTGCAGGGGATTTCCTTTGGTAACTGCAGAGAGCTCATCCTAATTATTCTCTCTCTACCCGAAGAAGTGCCTGACATGGTACTTTGTAAGGCCACATCATTGTAGCTCTTCTAATGCTACTGATCCCACTCGGTGGCAGAAGACACAATGCTCTGCTCTAAGCAGAACTGGGATTATCTTCAGGGAGGAGAAGTGGAGGTGGGAGTTTCTCAGAAGAATGCTGAAAATAAGGAATTATATCGGGAAGGATATAAAGCCGAGGTAAAATATGGGAGACTCCAGTTATTGGAATGAATATTGTTCTGATGGTTAGAAATATACCTCTAACTCCTGGTTCTGTTTGAACAAGTTACTTGGGTATCAGTACTGGAGCTGCAGTTTCTTCAGGTACAGAAAGAAGTTGGTATTTGTCCTTAAAAGAGCTTTAGCTAATGCCTGTTCCAAAGCTCAGTGAAACTCGAGGGAAAAGAGCACTGTTATTTTTGTAGACTATGGTCAGTCTTTCGTTTGTTAGAGAAAATCCATCTGAAATCCTTGTTTGAAAGGCAAAAGATGGTCACCAGTTCAAGGACTGGAGATGATGTTACTCAGACAGAAGTCCCCCTGAACCCCAGGGGGAATTTTGCTAGAGTATGGCTTAGTATCTGACCCATGATTAGCTCAGGGAACAGATTTTTTGACAGCAGCAAAATGGGTTTCTCTTTGTCTTGTTTTTTTCAGTGCAGACCAGAGAATCCAGGCAGGAAGGGGGCTAGGGTGCATGGGCACTGGAAGCATGGCATGCACACACATGCAGATATGCACATGCCAGTTCCTATAAATCACAATTTAACCAACCCCCCCCCTTATCTCCTCCACTGCCCAGTTTGCAGGTGGTATAGTTGGAGGAATATACATGATATTACCCTCCCCTCTTGGGGCTAAGAAAGCAGTTGCCACTTCTGAGGAGTGCTTAGCTGACTCCTTCCCTCTCCCTTTCCTAGGATATACTGAGGGAAAGATCTTTACACTGCTCGTGTTCCTGAAATAGCCAAAGTAGATTCAGTACTGCCCTGCAGTACTATCAGAAAACTCTTTTGACGGTAAAATGCAGCCACTTCTGGTGCGGGAGACAACAGGTGTTTTACCAGTGTTAAAAATACCCTGAGAATGTTTTAACTGTCAAAACTACTGGGGTAATCTGGGACTGCTGAATGTGGTTTACAAGCTGGGAGTTGTCTGAGGTCCTGGGCTAACCCTTCCCTTGTAGGTTGCTTCATGACCACAGTTACGTTTTTGTTTCAGCTAAAATTCCCCATTCTGAAGAGATTATGCTTCGGCAAAACTAGCTTTCTTTTTTTATCTTTTTGCTAATCCTTTTACCCAAGGAATTTCTGTTCCTGTAGCATCTGGTTATGCGTAAGGTGCTGCTATTTTTATCCTTTTGAACAGTTAGAAGCATTCACGGTATCCACAAGTAACATTCTGGCAAGAGTATCTGCTACAAAGATGGGCATAGCTCGTTTTGTGTGACTCTCATCAGTATCTCAGCACTTACAGGAGAAATGGGCATAGCAGCATTACGTCGTCACACGAGGAACCAAGAGGTCTTGGTGTTTTGCCTTTCTCTGCCATAACGTCTCTGGAATACCTTGAGCAAACTCACTGTGCAGATCTTTCTTTCATCACGTCTGGCAGTGAACTGTGTGGCAGCTGACCCTGCAAAAGGTGATCAGTAGCATTTCTCCCGCAGGTCTGCAGTGGAGACTAATGGTGGAACAGTCTTCAACGAGAGTCTTAAGCAAAACGAGCTTCCTGCATCTGCCACCATATCTGATGTCTTTGTTGTTTTGAATTAGAATAATCAGCACAAAGTGAAGCAGTCCTCCTCCCCCATGTTTGCTCTCCTCTTTCTTGATTTTTTATTAGCCCATTTAGAGCTCCCTTGGGTGTCTTTGCACCATCTATTTCTTGTGGTGTTACGGTGGGTCAAAACATCCCTGCAACTCTCTACAGTTTTAACACGCCTGTTTGCAGGCTGGTTACAATGTGCTCATGCCCATACTGAAGGGCTCTGAAAATTCTCTGCCAACCACCCCGGTGTCTGTCTTGTGTGTTTGTGTGCCATTTACTATCCCTAACCTGAAAAACTACATAATGATAAATGGCAAAGTTCCAGGACCTCTTTTCACTTTCAAAGGCCTTGAAAAACAGAGAGTCAGGATCTCAGTGTATTAACCTGGTTTCTTGCTTTCCTCTTTGCTAAACGAGTCAGAAAACTGCATCTTACGATAAACAGTTCAGGGTTAATTTCACACAATACTGCACATAACTCCCTCCTCCTTTTCCCCTCCTCCCCCTAGCCTTTCACACTATCTTTGAGTTATGACTCTCCTACACTAATGAGATAAACAACATAACTCACTGCAGGTTCTGCTATTTCCTCTATAAGCAAATGGTTGGAACCTTCTTTGGTTGCCCTATAAGGCACCAGAGGGAGAGACAACCAAGCCGGGACTGAAGACAGGAACACCTCTGTATGTGCTGTTTCCGTATGTTCCACAAGATCAGCTGTGGAGGGGCCAGGTTCAGAGCATTCAGAACTGACCCTTTCCTCGTGGCCCCTCGTTTGTGTAAACAATCAAAGATCCACGCTGCAGCACGGTGGTGGATGGGGGGGGTCAGAGTGGAGAACTGAAGGCAGCATTCGGTGGGTGTGGATCACGTGAAGGTCTGGTGTGTGTTTGAAGTTTGTTGGATAGCTGCGTATTCATGAGCAAGGGTGTTGTCGATAGGAACGGGGAGCTCTCTTCGAGGGGTGCAGAGATAGATGCTGGATCTTATTAAGTCGTCTGCCACCTGAAGTGGGCAGTAGGTCCTCTAGGGAAGAGGATTTCCCACCTCTGTCTTTTCAAGGATACCTACTTTCTTTCTTGTTGAGGTTTCAGCATTTGTGGTTGGCTTTCGCTGTCCTGACTGAATCCAGAATTACTTTTTCAAGTAAGAGTGCTTGATAATTGAACCCGCATTAACAGATATTCCCCCCCAAACTGCAGTAGATCCTTGCTCTTCTTTGTCTGAGACAAATGCTTGAAGCTGTGATGCTTATTTTGTTCAAATGACTCTTCTGTGGAGGCCTGTGCATTAGATGGCTGATTCTCTGTCCTATTGCTTTGGTGTAGCAGCTGCCATTTCGATGTTGTGAGCAAGTTCTTGCACAGGACCTACTGCAAAAGGGTGAGGCTTCTTGCCTCCGCCTCTTTAATGACTCACATCAGAGCCAGGCACAATCCACCTCATCATAATAGCAATTGTTTGCAGTGGTGAATGTTTGCAAAGTGCCATGAAGAAGTGTATTCAAACGCTGTAAAAGTGCTAGTTATTCACATTTTTATTCCTAAACCAGTCCCAAGTGCCCCGCTCTGAAATGTGTCTTTTTTGGAGTGGGCTTAATGCCCAGCAAGCAGCACGTCAATGAAAGAATGGCATGAAAATCCCCAGTTCAGTGGCGTCCTCTGTTCTGGAACAGCCAGGATCTCTGCAAATGCTCCCATCGCTCGGCCATACCCAGCCAGTGTGCTGGACACACTCCATTTATGCACCAAGGCCTTGGAAGTATGTGGAAAGGGCTGGGGTCTGAACTGGCATTCCCAACAGCTGAAATACTTCAAATCATGAGCTTAGGTTGCACTTGGAGAATTTGATTAGCCCATTCCCTTGAGGTGAATAATTTTGTTGTGTCTTTCCTCTCTCCCTCCGCCCCCAGGAACAGGATGTTATTTTTCATTATCCTTGCTTGGTTCAGTGAGCCAGTTTTGCTCCCAGGCTGGTACACTCTCCCGGGTGCTTCAGAAGGGATGAGAGAACTCTTGGGCCATCCTGGTGCCCTTGAGCTGTCCTGCTTTAATGGCACCCCTTTGATGTTGTCCAACTGTTCACTGTTGGTAGGTTCAGGTTTGGCAACACCACTCATGTGCTCTCTCTTTAGTGGTCTTACTTGTTTTCTAAGGGCAACGAGTCTGGAACTGCAGTCACTCTCCCTTTCAAGACTAACAGCAGCAGGACAGAAAAGCCAAAGCAGAACTGGTGGACGGAGAGGGCAGGAGAAGCAGTGGAGAGAATGACATTCTTCCAACTTTTCTGTGTCTTGCTGGCTATTTCTGTGTGTCAGGACTATCTGGAACAGTTGAGGATGCTTTGAAGCACTTGGCAGTGTGCTTCTGTGCCCCTGGTAGTGATGCATTCACCAAGCCCTGCTGTGTTCTGAATAGACAAGAGCAAAGTATAGCTTGGCTAAAGGGTGTCTCACAAGGACCAGGGCACCTCAGAAGCCAGCGGTGCCAAATGCGATTCAGTGGAGCATGCGGTAATACAACCATTGCTGCTCTGTCTCCTTCCTCATTCAGGATGTTGTCATGAGGAGGTAACAGCCAGAATGAGGAATCTGTCCTCAAACAAAAGTCAAGAATTTAAGCAAAAGTGTAGAGTCCAGAGAGCCAGACCTCATGGATCTTGGTTTGCTCCCACTTGAAAGACACAGATTTCCTGAGCTGCTCTGTGCATCAGAGCCTTCTGATTTGCATGTCAGAACTTCATCTCTTCTCTCCCAAGGGGCTTTCTCTGCCCATGGAGGAGGCATCACCCCTGTGACCCAGGAGAGTCTGAAATTCTATTTACCCTGAAGAAATCACAAATTATTTATATGCAGCTCTGGTTTCAGAGAGCTGAGGGAAGTGTCTGAGTGAGATTCTCTGTAGGCCTGATCCCAAGAGGTGCTGAGGAGCCTCAGGAGCACTGGATGCCTTGAGTTCGTAGCTCTGCCCCATGATTTGCAGGATTGAACCCTCCAACAAGGAGACGCTGGAAGGGGAAGAACAAAGATGCTAGAGACAGTGCTTGTGGTTTACAAACTGAAACGTGATTAAATTTATTTTTTGCCTTTAATCTTCAGGCCTGGCCCCAGGTCAGCTGTACACATACCCGGCACGTTGCTGGCGCAAAAAGAGGCGTTTGCATCCCCCTGAGGATTCCAGGCTGAAGCTGCTAGAAATTAAACCTGGTAAGTATTTGTTTGTGTCACTGTCTCTCCTGTGCTGCTGAGCAGCTGGCATACAGGCAAACCTGGCATATAGACCTTGGACTTTGTCTTTGTCTCCAGCCATTTCTCTTTGCGTGTGTTGCATCTTACTTGATTTGCTTTAACAATAACCACTAAGCACTCTGCACACAACTCATCCCTTACAGAAATGCACACGTGTATTAAATGGCGATTTTACCTTCCGTAGATCTGAATCCTAGCCTCTATTAGCAAATTCATAAGAATGTAACAGATCAGTGTATTACTAATTATTGCCTCAGTCTTTTATTAAAACAAAAATCTCACTCTGGAATTTGCCACCTAATCTTTGTGAGAAAGACCTGTGTGTATGTGGAACAGGACACTGATAAGATTTTTCACAATGAGGCTGGGGACCAGGGGTGTGACCAGATTATGAACAGCAAATAATACAAATTAGTGAGCATATGCCACATTTGTATATGTGTGTACGCCTGCCTTAGTTCATTCTTCTTTCATTCTTGTTGTCCTTGGTACCCTTCTCCCCACAATTAAACTACGTGAAGTTGATGACTCTGAATGCTGAATGAGTGACTGTAAAGCAGATGTGGAGGAGCTACCACTGTCAGGTAGAGCATGGAGTTGTGCTTTCTTCCCTGCAGTTAGTAATACAGGCTTGCTCTCTTTGGGGTCAGCTATTACGAGAAAGAAGGAACGCATGTACTCTCAGCTGTATGTGGTTTTTAAGAAGTGAGACACTGCCAGTATAAAACGTGCAGGAGAAAACCCCAAAATGTAAATTAAGAATATTAAAAAAACCCTATTTGACAGAAGAAGGTGTCTGGGAACTGAGCTGTGCTCAGTGATATTGATAACTGCTTCCATGGAGTAGTTGATGAAGAGAAAGGAAGGGGTAACAAAGACAAGTTCTAAACCCAGTAAACCCAGTAAAATCAGATGAAAAATTCACATTGGTTTTGGTAGAAACAGGTTTTGAAGGATCCCTGCCTCCAGTATAGGAGATGCCAGCAGACAGTTGAACAAGAGGAAGAAATGGGTTTCAAACCAAGGGCAAAATCTTAGCCAGCAAGTAAAGCCAGACTCGCAGCGGAGCTACTCAGAAAGAACTGGTGAAGTCAGTCCAGTACACTGATGGAAATGAGACTGGACTCTAGGAAGGGAATGATTTCGGTCCATAGAAATGTCTACCTCAGACGTTGTGATGATGCCAACACTGCTGTGCCTTGGTAATTTAGTAAGGTAAAGTGGTAGAGTTTGAGTCTTCTTTGTTTGCATTACGCTTCTTTGCTGTACTCAGTGAATGCCAAATTAGTGCATCCTCCATGCCACAGGGCATGAAAGGCAATTACCACAAAGTTATCAGATAAAGAGACCTCAGCATGTCTGTCTCTGTTTTTTTTTTTTCCCTGCTATAAACATCTCTTCTCCATCTCAGGAGTGCTACTTCTGTTGCGTTGCCAGTAGCAGCCAAATAAGGCAAGTTATACTGCTCTGCCATTTAAATCTATTTTCCAACCAATTTCTATCTAGTGATTAACTTGCCTTATCAGTTACACCACAAAATAATTTCGCTCCATCTGTGCATATTCAGAATAGACTCACTAGCCAAAAATGGATTTTTCCCCTTCTCTGATTTGAAAGTATAAAACCTGTGGAAAACATCGAATCTTCATTTACAGGTAGCTTTTGGCAATTTGGGGAAAAGATAGCATCATTTATTTTAGACATTGACAGAAGAAACACTGTATGTTTTGAAAGGGGAGACTGCGGTAAAACCTTATGCTGAACCTAGGAAGCTACTGTATGCTACCTCTTTGTTCCTCAGTTAAACATTAGATGACTGTGTGGGGCAAAGATGTGGCTATTTAAGATTCTTTGAAAAGCACAGAGATGACAACTGTCGGACATGTAAAATAAATTTTGAAGAAACCTGATTTAAATGTTCCAGAATTTCACTCCACCTGAGGCTTGGATATCCTAGTCGTGGCTTAGAGCTCTTCTTGGTGCTTGTGCTCAGTTAATATGTGAGTAGCTGGTTGTTATATAGGAAGATGTTGAACTGGTTATCTGTTACGTAATGTAGGCAAGCAATGTGATTCTACACTGTCAAATTCAGGCTAAACCTTAGTTTTATTGTTTTACACTTGTTAACTGTTTAGAAGTGCTTCTTGTAAGCCAGCAGTCGGTGGGATCGGCACTGGGGATGTGAATACATGCTTGGATGGCACCTAGGCTTTTGGAGTGGCTCATTATTGCCAGAAGTTGCATCCAGAAGTACAAGACTTCTACATAGTTCAGGAAATACATTGACCTGTGATATTTGTTTTGGTAAGTCATAGCTGCTCAGTAAGTAGAATCAAACTATTGTCTTGCTTAGCAGTTCAAGGGTATAAGAAATAATTTAGTGATAGTATTTATAATCACAACCTACTTTTGCAGTGTTGGTGCCTTACAGGTCGGGGTAGTGCGTGGCACAACTCTGTGAGTGACGGTTTCATACTTGGTAATAACGAAACCTAATGAAGAAAATAATCATGCTCCAATGGTCTCCTGGCTTTTGTAAAATGCAAGTGCATTGCAATGTTTTTCTTGGGGTCAGTTGCTGCTTGCTTCTTAATGGAACACAGTGCTTTTATTGTCCTGGTCCGTTGCTTTTATTTGGTTTCAAGTAGAAGTGTTTGTTTCTGAGAATTATTATAGCCAAAGTTATAAGGATCAGAACAGTGGAATAGGTGTTGCTGATGCAGCCTTTAGATGTCTGTTTTCCTCTGCCACCGTACTCGAGAGTTACGTGCATGGATGGCACTAGTGAAGTTGTTCAATCAAGAATCTAGCAAAGTTCATGTTGATACCATTTCTAAGCATCCTCCATTCCATCCTGTAGCCTATCCAAGAGATGCCCAGTAGAAACGAAGTATTGCCAAACTTTTTTATGATAACTGCTTCAGTGACAACACAGTCATTATTACTGGACCTTTAGGAATTATGTGAAGTACTCCTGGCATTTACTTCCAAATGGTCTTCATCTCTCAGCTGGATATTCATATCATCAGAACCCAGCATTATGGCTCAAGCGCAGCCAAGTTTTCATCGTTGTAATGGATATGAGCTGTTACACGAGTCATCAGAGTGCAGCAGTCAAGGCTCCTGGGAACAGTGGTGTAGATTTTGAAGCAAATTCCCAGGCATGGGCAATATATGGACATGCTGCTAGTACTGTAATTTTCTAGGTAGAATGCTAAAGTTCTTAGATGTTGATACTCTCCTAATATTCATGAAACCAGACTTCTATTCAACCAGGTATGGGCAAACCTGGTTCCCTTCAGAACTGGGCAGTGGTATTTGTGTGGTGCTTCAGCACAGAGCAGCTCGTGCTTCTGCACTCTTTTCTCAGTTGGTTGTTCTTCTGCCCAGGAAAAGAGCAGAGCAGGTGCTCCTGTGCATGAGGGTTCTGTGAGGCTGGCAGTGGGTGAGGGAGAGAGTTGTGCTGGGCCAGGTAGCCTATTCTTCCAGAGGAATGGGAGAAGAAATAGAATTTCCAACTCTCCTACCACCACATTGAACTGGAGGTGCCTCAAAGGCAAGCAGTAGGACTCTGACCCTTGGTGATAACAGCACGGCTGGAAAGATGCGGGTTAGAAATGGGAGAGAAATCTCTGTTTATACCCAAAGCCCCTTGAAATCTTAGTTGCTCTTTGTCCTACATACTTAGTGGGTTTTGTGGTACTGGGTGATATCATGATTCTGTGTCGGGTCAGGTATGAGTATTGTGGAAGCGGTATTACCTACAGTAAACCCTGCTGACAGTCAGGTATTACCCAAGCTTTGCAGCTATGCAGAACAGAACAGATAGGGTGTGTATGGCCAAGAACTCTGGTGGAATTTAAATTGATAGTGTCCTACTTGAGTTTTACAAGATGGCTAAATATAGATACGTACATACATGCAGACAGGGCTTTTATTTCGCATGCCATATAGGTGTAAAGAATACGACTGGAAAGCTTTTGTCTCAGTTCACTGCGCTCCTTCAGTTCTGGACTGAAAGCCAAGAGCAGGCAGCCTTCCCACCTACTTGGAGGGCGTGGAGTAGAGTTTGTGTGTGCTCCTGCTGCGGGGAGAATGAGCTGGTGCCCTGTGCTCGTGTCTGCCCTCTTGCTTTTCCCTGGGCAGTCTAGTGTTCAGCTGAACTACAGAGATGCCTTTTTTTTAAACCAGCCGTTGAAGAGGTAAAAGTAAACAAAAGTATTTTTCATTTGCTGTTGTGAACCGTGGTAGAATTGTTTGAGGCTGGTACTGATAACAGATTTTTAGGTGCCACTGCAACAATGCCTGATCTGTTTTTAATTTGATGTAGGGGATATACCCATGTGAGTGTGCTTGTGGATAAATTAATGGAATCCTTGCAGATAAGCTATTATCTCTTTCAATCATCTCAATTTACCTTGTAGAGACTGAGACTTGATTGTACAAAGGCACTGTGGTTCTCCTGGGAAGTGCCGAGTGGCCCCAACTCTTGTGGAAGATGCTCATCATATCTGCAGAGGTCTGTGCTCTTTAAGATGGGGCACTTCACCAAGATAAAGTTAAGATGAAATTAAAAGGCAAAGGACAGAATTCGCGTTAATATCACTTACGTGATAACATCTAGAGACACAGCCAGCCTGTTGGATCATCATCCTGGGGTTGTTGTGAAGCCTTTCTACACTCTACTGTAGGCAGATCTTACAGTCCAAATACACAACACATAGTAAAGGAAGTACTTTGATTCCAAAATGGAGAACTGAGCAACAAAACGACTTCTGTGAAGGTTTAGCCAGAAGTTTGTGCTAGGACTACAAATTGAACCCAAGAAGGCAGGAAGAGCTCAGGTCTCCAGAGTTACATATTCTTGTTTCTTTCCTTGGCTGCTATGTCCAGTGCACTCAAAAATACTAGAGCCTAAAAATAATTGAAAACACTAATTTAATGAGAATTGCATTTTA